ATTAAAGGCAGGAGAAGATGGATGCAAGGCAGGGATGGGCCTGGAACAATCTATGGACATGGAATAAACCATGGATATGGAACAGTCCATGAATATGGAATAACCCATGGACAGGGAGCAATCCATGGACACAGAACAATCCATGGACGTGGAATAATCCATGGACATGGAATAATCCATGGACACGGAATAACCCATGGACATGGAATAATCCATGGACACAGAACAATCCATGGACACAGAATAACCCATGGACATGGAATAACCCATGGACATGGAATAATCCATAGATATGGAATAATCCATGGACACAGAACAATCCATGGACACGGAATAATCCATGGACATGGAATAAACCATGGATATGGAACAGTCCATGCATATGGAATAACCCATGGGCAGGGAGCAATCCATGGACACAGAACAATCCATGGACATGGAATAACCCATGGACATGGAATAATCCATGGACACAGAACAATCCATGGACATGGAATAACCCATGGACATGGAATAACCCATGGACAGGGAGCAATCCATGGAAACAGAACAATCCATAGATATGGAATAATCCATGGACACAGAACAATCCATGGACACGGAATAATCCATGGACACGGAATAATCCATGGACACAGAACAATCCATGGACACGGAATAATCCATGGACACGGTATAAACCATGGATATGGAACAGTCCATGCATATGGAATAACCCATGGGCAGGGAGCAATCCATGGACACAGAACAATCCATGGACATGGAATAACCCATGGACGTGGAATAATCCATGGACATGGAATAATCCAAGGACACGGAACAGGCCATGAACACGGAACAATCCAAGGACACGGGACAGGCCATGAACACGGAACAATCCAAGGACATGGGACAGGCCATGAACACGGAACAATCCAAGGACACAGGACAGGCCATGAACACGGAACAATCCAAGGACACGGGACAGGCCATGAACACGGAACAATCCAAGGACACGGAACAGGCCATGAACACGGAACAATCCAAGGACACAGGACAGGCCATGAACACGGAACAATCCATAGACACGGAACAATCCATGGACACTTTTCCCTCGGCATCTCCCTGGGAATGCTCCGAGCTCTGCTCCCCTGCAGGAGAAGTAGCCCCCCGCAGCACCAGGGATAAATTCCCAAATTATCCCAAGGCTGGCATAAAATCCAGGGGCAGGATGAGGCTCAGGATGAGGAACAGAAATAGAAATAATAAAATATTGCTATTCAATTAAATAATATTATTTCATAAATTTTATTTTATTAATTTAATTTTAATTAATAATAATAATTTAAATTTTATTTATTAAAAATATTCAAGAATAGAAAATGAAGATATAATAGATAATAAATATATCTAATGACATTTAAATGTAAGCTAAATATATATTATTTATTTTATATTATATTTATATT